AGAAAGGAAGAAATAGGGGAGACAGGATAGCAGCGTTCCAGTATTTGAGAGGCTGCCACAAAAAGAGGGGGTCAAATTATTCTCCAAAGCACCAGAGGGAAGAACAAGAAACAATGGTTGGAAACTGACCAAAGAGAGAAGCAACCTGGAATTAAAGAGAAACTTCCTAAAAGTGAGGACAATCAACCAGTGGAACAGCTTGCCTCCAGAAATCCTGGGTGCTCCATCACTGGAGGTTTTTAAGAAGAGACTGGACAGTTGCTTGTCTGAGATAGTATAGTATCGATAGTATAGGAGCTGGACTAGAAGATCTCCAAGGTCCCTTCCAGCTCTATTCTATTCTATTCTATTCTATTCTATTCTATTCTATTCTATTCTATTCTATTCTATTCTATTCTATATTTTCTATTCTACTGTACTCTACTCTACTGTACTCTACTCTATTCTATTCCTGATTTTACTGTGCTGTAGGCTGCCCAGGGTCACTTTGGATAGGGATATGCGTGGTATATAAACTCAATCCATCCATCCATCCATCCAATGGGCAGCCCACCTCCAGCTAGGTCAACCTCATCAAACAAGAATCAACACCGTTTCTGAAGCTGTATGGATCGCTAGCAGTCACTGGACCAATTCTGAAGTGCTGGTTACCAAAGCCTTTTAGAGCACAGCACTGGGATGTGCAAGGCAACAACTTGACAACATTGGTTCTGTCCGTGCATTCGGGCTATTTAGAGAGCATCCCCTGCAGATTTGGGGAGGGGAGGCGCCACGTCACAAACCCTCTCCAGGGTGGCCCATTTTTAACGGAGAATTCCTCTTCCTCAGAGAGATACTTTACAAAGCAAAGTATTTACTTTACAATCCCACTTTACAAGGATTTCTACAACAGGCCAAAACAGAAATAGGCATTTGGCTGTGAGGTTAAGAAGCAAACAGTCCTTTTGTATCAGTTTTTTTTTTTTTAAAAAAAATGTTGATTTCTACTATTAGTGTGCTTTGGATGCATATTCTGGTTGTATCCTGCACAGAGTCCACTAGTGTTTGGTCAAACTATAATCATAGCAGAAATAAATAATTATTTTCATTACTTCCCCCCCCCCTTTAGATACTAATATTCAGAGGTTTTTATGGGAATAAATATGTTGAAGTGTGGAAGCAAAATGAAATATTCAAGGTGGCCACTTTAAGACTTGTGGACTTCAACTCCCAGAATTCAAGGCTACCTGGAGAATTCTGGGAGTTGAAGTTGCCAGAGTTGGACACCCTTGAATATTTCATTTTGCTTCCAGACTTCAACATATTATATTTATTCCCATAAAAACCTCTCTCTATTTTTTCGTCATACTTTCAGATGTGGATTTTTACTCTCTTATTTGTAATTCCATCGCTTCTCCGAAAACTTCTTGTTTAGTTCTTTTTACCTACTTCCAAATTATTATTATTTTGTTTCCACCAGAAGTGTTCCGCATTTTCTTGGCATCTTTTAATCTCAACCATTCCTTATTTTGTTCTGACTACACTGATCTTTTCTCTCTCTATTCACCTGATGTCTCTGTTTTCGGCTCCTGTCGTTCTCTGGAATGCATTCCTTCCTCACCTACACTTTTCCTCCTTTCATCCATTCCACCAAGAATCCTTTTTACACTCTTCTCATTAGTGAACTCCACATATCGCTGTGTCGCTGGCAACGTAAATTCTTTCCACTCTCCATCAAACTGCTTGCGCAGTCTCTTTCCGGAGGCTTAGTTCCTATTAATCCTGACAGGGGATTAATATTTCTTCGGCCTGTGAGACTCACAACGTTCCTATTTTGCAACTCAACTTTCTTGGGGTTTTTTTTTTTTCCCTTTGAAAACCTTTTGCTTCTCATCCAAGAAGCTTCTTCAGTTCTAGCTTCTTGGATGAGAAGCGAAACCTTTTCAAGGAAAAAAGGTTAATGCAGAGGGATTCTATCATATATTCTATGCATCAACAGAGGGATAGAATCAAGATCAGGTGAAGGGTTAATACCACTTTACCAGGCCTTGGTAAGGCCACACTTGGAATCCTGCATCCAGTTTTAGTCACCACGATGTAAAAAAGATGCTGAGACTTTAGAAAGAGTACAGAGAAGAGCAACAAAGAGGATCAGGGGACTGGAGGATAAAACATATAAGGAACGGCTGCTGGAATTGGGAATGTCCAGTTTAATGAAGAGAAGGACGAGGGGGGACAGGATAGCAGTCTTCCAGTATCTCAGGGGCTGCCCCAAAGAAGAGGGAGTCAAGCTGTTCTCCAAAGTACCTGAAGGCAGGAGAAGAAGCAACGGATGGAAACTGATCAGGGAGAGAAGCAACCTGGAATTAAGGAGGAATTTCCTAATTGTGAGGACAATTAACCAGTGGAACTGTTTGCCTCCAGAAGTTGTTGCAGGTCCTTAAGAAGAGATTGGACAACCATTTGTCTGAAATGGTATAGGGCTTTCTGCCTGAGCAGGGGGTTGGATTAGATGACCTCCAAGGTAATTTACTACTACTACTACTACTACTACTACTACTACTACTACTACTACTACTACTATTATGGATCATCGCACAGTCAGCCAGATGTTCAGACTGGATTTGGCATTTTGTCTACCTATCGAGTCCTTTCCCAGGACCTGGGATAGGCAGATGTGGATGTTTGATGGTATTACAGATCTCGTCGCAGGATGGAAGCAGTTCCTAGTAAGGCCGCTTACTACTACTACTACTACTACTACTACCAAGCAAGTCCAATTGACTTTTGGAAAAGCACCTTCGTGACAACCATGATCTGGACGATGGAGAATCTCTATAGACATTTAACCTGGAATATTCATTTCTTGTGAATCCCACCCATAAATTCGGCACACCAAGCAACTCTTAGCAGAGAGGACCACAACTTCAGAAAACACCACGAAGCCGATATATATATCTTTTCCCCTCTCTGTTCATTTTCTTTTTTTCTCCGAGAAGATGACAGAGCACATCTTCAGCACAAAGGCAGTCAAGGCCCACTTCTTAGGCCAGGGGTAGGCAACCTTGGCTCTTTTATGACTGGTGGACTTTAACTCCCAGAATTCCTGAACCAGCCATGCTGAGGGGAAAGGGAGAGGTTTCCAAGCTGAGCCAGGCTGGCTCAGGAATTCTGGGAGTTGAAGTCCACCAGTCATGAGGGGGCCATAGTTCCCCCATGCTGGCTCAGGAATTCTGGGAGTTGAAGTCCACCAGTCATGAGGGGGCCATAGTTCCCCCATGCTGGCTCAGG